TAAATGCAATATATTGTATTCTCTACTTAATTACCTAGCTAGTTAATTCTCCACTGGCTATTAACGTACTAATCTTCTTATAGAATATAAATGCTACGTATCACTCAACATTGAGAAGAACCTACGCACAGCAAGCATATGAATTCCACAAAAATGCTGCTTACCTTGATACCTTATCCTAATGCGATCCGAAGTAGATCCCTCATTATCAACTATGATGGTGAAACGCGAATTACGTTTCATGTGAGGAGCTACTAAATTATAAAATTGGAAGATATCCATTCCCACTGTCCTTCCTGTTGTAGTACGGGCATTGAAGTTCTCGAAGAAACCAGTAGAGATCCTTACAATGTGCCATTGATTGTTAAAATGAACTGCAATTGACAAACCAGCTCCTGAAACTCTGAGAAATGAAGATGTTTGTGTATTATTTGGGGGAAGAATCATTTTAATGGCGCGACTTATATTCTCATGTCTGTCCCCAACCACGCCAATCATCTGCAGAAACATATCTCAAACTCTTATATAAAAGAATTCCTACACATAAATATAAATTTTCAGCTCATCAAACCAATAGTGTTAAATTAATCACTTGAGTATGCTCCTAATTGATTAAAAAGAATTAAAACATTAATCTAAATTTAAAAGGTAAAACTTGATGTTATTGTCCTAATTTGATTAATAATATTATTTTCGTTTAGAAAAAATAAAAATAAGACTCGAAAAAAATATAAAATTTCAAGGAAAATAAAAATCAAGACCATGTTAATATTTTAAATATTAAAATTTTTTATAAAATTATTTAAATACTCTTAATAAATTTTTTTATATATTAATTAATTTATTAAAAGTATTTTAATTTTTATAATTATTTTTAATATTTTAATTACCAATCCCTAAAATAAAAACCGTACACCTCTAATTCTAAACAACACGTCAATATATCTAGAAAAGTCTTTGCCCAACATGCAGTGGGACCAGTACATGATAGAGGACCACAACAACACCAGAAGAGGTAAATAATAGAATAGGAAGTGATTCAACAATTAATTTATCTCAAAGTACATTTAAACCATTAAAAACCAGATCTTTGTTACATACATAGAAACAATCATCTATTATATATCTAGGTATGTGCCTGGGGTTTTTGGTTACTGTTGCGTAGCAAATGAACATGATGTAATCAGTTTGCCCTTGTATTCTGTCAACAAAAACAGTATTTTTACTGTTCGAAAAAAACAATCTAGGTGTGTGCCTGGGTTAGAAAAACTTTCAATTATGCACAAACGGAAAATAATGAAATCAATATCCTTCATATGATGGGCATCCTATTCTTATGGAAATCTGTTAGTTTAAAAGACACTTTATAAAAAAAAAAAAATAGAAAAAAAGAGCTAAAACATCACAGGATAAAACATAGCACACTCCTACAGCTTACCTTGCTCCGGTCAGTATGACTTTGCAAACCTCCTACGGACCCTTGAACCAATCCTCTTGAGATAGATCAGGCCTTATTTTTGCCTTAATCCACTGAAAAATCTGTATTTATTAGTTATAATACCTGGCTTTGTGAGTCAGTTTCTTTGGCGAAGACTACTTGGTTCCTCCGTAGCCATAAGGACAAGATTACAGTGAACCATACTATAGTTTAAAAGAAACTTATATGAGGATAACAAAGAGAGAGAGGGTTGAAATCCAAGATAAAGAACTCCTGGAACAAAGGAGTGGTAATACAAGATAAAGAAGAGCCCTCTTGAGCTGGATAAGAGATGGGACAAACAAAGATAAAACCATCAAAAGAGAACATAAATCCCATAAAAAGGCGGATTGAAAAACAATTCTGGTAGAAGTTTTCTCAAGAAAGAACAGCACGGAGGATTAACAAGGATTACCTGCTTTCTCTTTGGGCAAAGATGCAAATCCTTTTGCTTGACTGAAAAAACTACCGAGAGGATGCAGCTGGCTTCTCCTAAAGGATTTCTCAATGCAAAAGTAATGAAGGAAAACAAATGGTGGCACAAAAAAGATGGGGAGGTCTTTGTCTAAGACCGACGGTGGAAAAACTGGAAATGAAGATCAGCTCTCTGGTGACTCATGACACACGGTCATAACTTTCAGTTTGGTCAGTTTGGTCAGTTTGGTCACTATATTTTTAAATTTATAAATGCAATCACTCACCTTTCTTTTAACATGCTCCGTTTAATCACCCTCCGTTGTATCTGCAATTGCCGTTAAGTAAGACGATGAATTGGCTTGGACCAAGAAAAAATTGATGACTTGGTGCTTTCACTTTTGTTTAACTGTAATAAAATTATAGTACATATTTGTTATGTACATACACACACTAACTATTTAATATTTTATTAATATTTTTATTTTTATTCCTAGAGTAATAAACAAAGTTGTAGATTGATTAGAGAGATATTTTTGTATGATAGATATCGAGCATAGTTATGCATGTTTATTAAATTGTAAAATATTATCTTTAAAAATATGATTTTGTTTAATTTAACTAATAAAAGTGGCTAATAATTGTAACAATTAACTAATAATTGATGAACAGTTAATATTTATTAGTTAATAAATTAAAATCAATAAACAAATTGATATTTTCAAATATTGTTTTAAAAAAATTAAAATTTTAGTAATCTTAATAATATTGATAGTAACAATAACCACACCTATAAATATTTTTATTGAATTTGTAGAAAAATTAAAGGTCTAATAACAAAGATACTATGTATTAACTCTTTGCATTAGTAATAAAACAAAATCAAATGTGTTGCTTCAGGTTTAACCATATACCCATGAGGATTGGCATTAAATCATGTAATTTTTTGATTGGACTATTTAAGTGTTCACACATGTAATTTGCTTTCATTTTTTATCTATTTATTTTTTTGATAAATTAGTTTTATAATTAAATAAAAGTCATGTTTTATTCATCACGCTAAATTTTTTGAAATTATTAAAATATTTTTAATGAAATTATTTTTTATTATTTTATTTATTAAAATATCTTTAATAAAATTAGTCATGAAATATTTATTTGGCCCACGCCCTCTTGCCACCTCACCTAACGGCATTTGGGGAGATAACGGGAATTGATTAGTTGGGCATGTTAAAACAAAAGTAAGTGACTAAATTTACACATTTAAAAAGAGAGTAACTAATTGAAAGTTATGATAAAAGTAAGTGACCATTTAATATAATCATAATTACAATACAAATCCTAACAAGAACATGAGCACCTTAACGTCGTTGTACCGAATGTCGAAGACAGAGAAAAAAAAACCTGACGATCGAGGTCAGATGGCCCCACATAATAATAAATTATGTGCATTTTGACCTTAACATGCCCCACATTTGTCAGGGCTGGGCTGGGCTGGGCTGAGCAAGGGCTGGGCTCCTCTACCACGTAGGATTTCTTATCAGATTTGACTTCTCTTTTTTCAACACCCACCCCTAAAATTGTAACTCTTTAATTAAAAAAAACAGTTTTTTTTTTATTGAAAGTTCTAAAAAATAAAAATAGTATTTAATTTATAAATTATCTAATTATATTTATTTTTGTGACATTAATTTCAAAATTAATATTTATTTTTATATTTTTTTATACAAATTTATTATAAAAAAAATTCTTAACATGAAA